TATCTGGTAATTTCAAGTTTTTAAAAACTTTCAGAGTGAGTTTGGATAGATCTTTACATCGTAGTCTTCTTTCAGCAAGGTAGGTATGTTAAGAATTTCAACTCTCATGGCAATATTACCAGGAGAAATACAGTAAAAATCTTTGAACCAGATAAATCAAATGCATTTTGAACAGTTTTGTTTCAGAGAACAGCATGTTGTGTTTCATTATGTAATTATTTATTTATACTGAAGGATTTTTTTGTTGTTTTGTTTTGATTTTTTTTCCTTTACTAAAACATCATACTAGAAAGTTAGAAATAAAAATAAAAATAAACCAGCATAACAAAACAAACACAACTTAAATTTGAACCGATTCTTTTTTTCTTTCCTACCATTGCTACAGATAGTGTAGCAGAACATTAAACACCTGAGTAGCTTTCATATGTTCCTGGCTTCTACGAAAACAGTGAGTATCAAGATATAGTCCCATCTCTCCATTTGGGCCTTTATTCCTTCCAACAAATTATGCCAAAACCTCTGTCAGACTGCCAGTTCTATCTGCCAACCTCCAAAAGCAGAGCACACCCGGAAAGGCAATTCTCAGAACTGGATTAGGGCAATATTTGTTTGGGATACTGTAAAGTATTTCTTTCCAATGATTCCAGAAGCTCACTAAGCATATCCTTCACAAGAAATGTTTTCAAATGCTTTCAGATTATCCGTTGCTCCCTCTTTCTCGGGCTCAAGCAACCCAATCCTGCAAAACGTCTTACTTATGCTCCTATAGATAGTCCCTTCTGTAAAGGCAGAAAAATGTTAAGTATTAGTTAAGTATTAGTGTTAATAATTAACATTAACAGAATGTTAGTATTTACAATAAAAGCAAATTGATCATTTAATGAGCAGAAATAAATATGTTAGTACTGTAGATTTATTTGATTCTAAAAGCTAATCACATTTCTCCTACAAAAGAGTATGCTTAGTTACTACATAATTGTCTAATACTATTCCAGAGAGTCTGCTTACATATCTCTCACCTATCATTTTTAGATACTTGTCAATCATAGCAATAGCAATAGAACCTAGACTTATATACTGCTCTATAGTGCCTTACGACAGTCTCTGAGTGGTTTACAATATATTGCTCCCAAGAAACTGGGTCCTCATTTTACTGACTCTGGAAGAGTGGAAGATTGAGTCCACCTCCAACCGGTCAGGATTGAACTCCAGGCTTTGGGCAGAATTAGCCTGTAATATTGCATTCTAACCACTGAACCACGGGGTTCAAATTGTTCCTTTTAAATCAAATTAAATATGATAAGTTATTAACATAACCAAAATACATTTCTTCTAGTGCAAGGGTGTCCAATCTTGGTAACTTTAAGACTTGTGAACTTCAACTCCCAGAATTCTGGGAGATGAAGTCCACAAGTTTTAATGTTGCCAAGGTTGGACACCACTATTCTAGTGGGATTTGGGTGTGATAGATTTTAGCTGGATCCAAGGAAGAGAAAATTAATTGATTAAGCAGTTGTGTATTTCACTGTTTATTGGAACACACATTTTGTCCCCCCTTTATGGATTACTGCCTTGTCGTGGTGAAGGGGCTTGCGTAACTCAATGAAGCTATAAGCTATGCTGTGCAGGGCCACCCAAGACGGACAGGTTATAGCAGAGAGTTCTGACAAAATGTGATCCACTGGAGAAGGAAATGGCAAACCACTCCAGTATCTTTGCCATGAAAACCTCATGGACAGTACTAAAAGGCAAAAAGATATGATGCTGGAAGATGGGCCCCTCAGGTCGGAAGGTGTCCAATATGCTACTGGGGAAGAGCAGAAGGCTAGTACTAGTAGCTCCAGAAAGAATGAAGTGACTGGGCCAAAGCTGAAAGGACGCTCAGCTGTGGATATATCTGGTGGTGAAAGGAAAGTCCGATGCTGTAAAGATTTTTTCTCTATAGGAACCTGGAATGTAAGATCCATGAATCAAGGCAAGCTAGACGTAGTCAAAAAAGAGATGACAAGACTGAACATCGACATCTTAGGAATCAGCGAACTAAAATGGACAGGAATGGGTGAATTTAACTCAGATGACCATCAGGTATACTACTGTGGGCAAGAATCCCTCAGAAGAAATGGAGTAGCCTTCATAGTCAATAAAAGAATAGGAAAAGCAATACTGGGATACAATCCCCAAAATGACAGAATGATCTCAATTCGAATCCAAGGCAAACCATTCAATATCACAATAGTCCAAATCTATGCCCCTACCACTGGTGCTGAAGAGGATGAAATTGACCGGTTCTATGAAGCCCTACAGCACCTTATAGAATTAACACCCAAAAATGATGTCCTTATCATCATGGGGGATTAGAATGCTAAGGTAGGAAGCCAAAAGATAACCGGAATAACAGACAAGTTTGGCCTTGGAGTACAAAATGAAGCAGGGCACAGGCTAATAGAATTTTGTCAAGAGAATACGATGGTCATAACAAACACTCTTTTTCAACAACCCAAGAGACGGCTCTACACATGGACATCACCTGATGGTCAACATAGAAATCAGATTGACTATGTGCTCTGCAGCCAAAGATGGAGAAGCTGTATACAATCAGTAAAAACAAGACCAGGAGCTGACTGTGGCTCAGATCATGAGCTTCTCGTTGCAAAATTTAGGCTTAAATTGAAAAAAGTAGGGAAAAGCACTAGGCCACTCAGGTATGAACTAAATCATATTCCTGATGAATATACAGTAGAGGTGACAAATAGATTTAAGGAACTGGATCTGATAGACAGAGTGCCTGAAGAACTATGGATGGAAGTTCGCAACATTGTACAAGAGGTAGCAACTAAAACCATCCCAAAGAAAAAGAAATGCAAGAAAGCAAAATGGCTGTCTGAGGAAGCTTTGCAAATAGCTGAGGAAAGAAGGGAAGCGAAAGGCAAAGGAGAAAGAGAAAGATACACCCAATTGAATGCAGAATTCCAGAGAGTAGCTAGAAGAGATAAGAATGCCTTCTTAAATGAACAGTGCAAAGAAATAGAAGAAAACAACAGAATAGGGAGGACCAGAGATCTCTTCAAGAAAATTGGAGATATGAAGGGAACGTTTCATGCAAAGATGGGCATGATAAAAGACCAAAATGGTAGAGATCTAACAGAGGCAGAAGAGATTAAGAAGAGATGGCAAAACTACACAGAAGAACTATACAAGAATGAGCTTAACATCCCAGATAACCACAATGAGACAGTCACTGACCTCGAACCAGACATCCTAGAATGTGAAGTGAAATGGGCCTTAGAAAATCTGAGCAACAACAAAGCTAGTGGAGGTGACAGTATTCCAGCTGAGCTATTCAAAATCTTAAAAGACGATGCAGTAAAAGTGCTACACTCAATTTGCCAGCAAATTTGGAAAACTCAACAGTGGCCACAGGATTGGAAAAGGTCAGTTTACATTCCAATTCCAAAGAAAGGCAATGCCAAAGAATGTTCAAACTATCGCACCATTGCACTCATTTCACATGCTAGTAAAATTATGCTTAAAAGCCTACAAGCTAGACTCCAGCAGTATGTGGATCGAGAACTACCAGAAGTGCAGGCAGGATTTCGAAGAGGCAGAGGAACTAGAGATCAAATTGCCAACATACGCTGGATCATGGAGAAAGCTAGGGAGTTCCAGAAAAATATCTACTTCTGCTTCATTGACTATGCAAAAGCCTTTGATTGTGTGGATCACAACAAATTATGGCAAGTTCTTAAAGAGATGGGAGTACCAGACCATCTCATTTGTCTCTTGAGAAACCTATATGCGGGTCAAGAAGCAACAGTGAGAACTGGACACGGAACCACTGATTGGTTCAAAATTGGAAAAGGAGTCCGGCAAGGCTGTATACTGTTGCCCTGCCTATTTAACTTATATGCAGAGCACATCATGAGAAAGGCAGGGCTAGATGAAACAAAAGTTGGAATTAAGATTGCCGGGAGAAATATCAACAACCTAAGATATGCAGATGATACCACTCTAATGGCAGAAAGTGAAGAGGAACTAAAGAGCCTCTTGATGCGGGTGAAGAAGGAGAGTGCAAAAGTTGGCTTGAAACTCAACATTAAGAAAACCAAAATCATGGCATCCGGCCCTCTCAATTCCTGGCAAATAGATGGGGAAGAAATGGAGGTAGTGACAGATTTTATTTTTCTGGGCTCCAAGATCACCTCAGATGGGGACTGCAGCCAAGAAATTAAAAGACACTTGCTCCTGGGGAGGAAAGCTATGGCAAATCTAGACAGAATACTAAAAAGCAGAGACATCACCCTGCCAACAAAAGTACGTATAGTCCAGGCCATGGTTTTCCCAGTTGCAATGTATGGCTGTGAAAGTTGGACCATAAGAAAGGCTGAGTGCAAAAGAATTGAGGCCTTTGAACTATGGTGCTGGAGAAGACTCCTGCGAGTCCCTTGGACTGCAAGGCGTTCAAACCGGTCAGTCCTAGAAGAGATCAACCCCAACTGCTCTTTAGAAGGCCAGATCCTGAAGATGAAACTCAAATACTTTGGCCACCTAATGAGAAGGAAGGACTCACTGGAAAAGGGCCTAATACTGGGAAAGATTGAGGGCAACAGAAGAAGGGGATGACAGAGAATGAGATGGCTGGATGGAGTCACTGAAGCAGTAGTTGTGAACTTAAATGGACTCCAGAAGATGGTAGAGGACAGGAAGACCTGGAGGAACATCGTCCATGGGGTCGCGATGGGTCGGACACGACTTCGCAATTAACAACAACAACAACATTTTGTCCCTTTTTAAAAATGTGCACAATTGCCTGCACAACCAGTTCCTAATAATACACACATATATACACACAAATATCTATATACATATCCATTATAAAGCATAATAGAAAGACAAAGTTCAATAGTAAGAGAACAGAAACAAAAAAGATAGTTCATACTTCTAAAACTTTACTGTTAAGGTGTTTAACCATGAAATCCAGATCAGATTATTTAGACTCCTACCTTTTATTATTTAGATTGGCCATGTGCCAAACTTTTCATTTTACTTTTATTGTTTACTTTGATTCATTGGAGCCATCTGACCTTGTTTGCAAGTTTTCATTTCCATTCAGTTAAGGTGGTCCTTCCTGTTAGAAAGATATCTCCTGCCTTAGCTGCCCTGTTTCCATCTTCACATCAAGTGAATGTCAAATAGAATCTCAATCAGGAAATCCCAACCATAAATATAACACTTATTACCACATAGGCAAATGTTTATGTTTTAAAAAAATTGCTGTTACTTTTTCCTTCTTCTGCCAAAATCATCCTTGCTGACTTTGATGTTTAACATATGCATAGTGTTCTGCCATCCAGGCTAATATTGGGTCCCCCCATCACATTTCAAATCTGCACTTCAGCTGTTGCAAAATGTGTAGATAAGCAATTGAGGCAAGCATTGACTAAGTACCTTGTTGCATAATGAAACTAAGCAGGGGCAAAACCTCAGTGGTACAACATTTATTTGGCATCTCCCAGAAGGCTTGAAAGGCCTTCTGCCTCAAACCTATCCCAATTGGTTGATAGTACAGGATAATAAAAACAAAGACAAATAGGCTGAAAAATAATTTTTAGCCCAAAGCTGTAATTATATTAAATACCACTGTATTGTGCAACGTTGAAGTGCAATATTAGGGGCAGCGCAATGATGAATAGAATGTGAAGGATGTGTGTATATAATGTGTATGTTCTTATTTGTGGTTTTTACTTGTGTGTAGTGTGCACTGTGGGCAGCACTTAATTTCATTATGAGTTACACAATGACAATAAAGATATTCTATTCCAGTGGTGGCGAACCTTTGGCACAGGTGCCAGAGGCGGCACGCAGAGTGCTCTCTGTGGGCACGTGCGCCGTCGCCCCAGTCCTAGGCCTTCAGCTGGGTTTTATAAAACCTTTTCGCTTTGGGCCTCTGCCACCGTGTGCAAAAAAAAAAAAAAAAAAGGTTCAATCAATCAGTCAGTTTCAACTTCTTGCAGGGAAAAAAAGTTGGAAAAAATCTTGCAAAGCTGGAATTGATTGAACTTTTTAGTCCCACCTAGTCTGCCGTTACCACCACAGCCATGCCCACACAACTGGCCACACTCAGCCAATTGGCCACACCCAGCCAATGGCCACACCCACCCAGCACCCAACGATGCATAAGTGGGTTTGGGTTGCAGTTTGGGCACTCAGTCTCTGAAAGGTTCACCATCACTATTCTATTCTATTCTATTCTATTCTATTCTATTCTATTCTATTCTATTCTATTCTATTCCATTCCATTCCATTCCATTCCATTCTATTCTTCCAGAATTCTCAGCCAGTCTGTTTGTATCTGAATGTATCAAGGGCGGGAGGGTGGTGGGGAAGCCAGCCCAGAAAGATGCTTCCAATCAGACTGTCATTGTCAGCTTAGGTGAACCAAAGTTCTGATTCCCTGGCCTCTCTTACAAGGTGTTTTCCATGTCCTCCTACCACCCTTACCATAAACAAACAATAAAACAAATAAACCTTGAAACCTAAACTGGCTTGTTCAAAGTACATTTCCAAACCAAACTGAGGTCAGGTTCAGATCCAATCTCCCTCACAATCTCACCTGTCCTTTGTCAGCCTTTTGTTCTTGGCACACTGTTGCTGTTCCCTGTATCAGATAGCAGTCTTGATTCCCAAGGGAGAATGGATGAAGGATTGAGTTACTTAAGTAAACCAAGATGAAAGATCCAATGGAAGGCCATAACCTTTGGACTCTCAAGAGTATGTTGTGAACACATGGCCTGGCAGTTTCCCCCTTCATGGGATATAGTCAATTACTGCATCACCCCATTCTTACCCTTGTTAAATTTCTGAGCAGATGCACACATTTCCAAATTGGGGTGCAACTGGCCATTATATTTCTTTTCTAAAGAAGCTCAGAGGGACCATTTGGGTCCAGAATTATTTTTTTTAAGCTTAATGTTTTGCTTTACCCTGTTTCTGCTTTCCATTTTTTTTTAAACGTAAAAGAATGTTTTCAAATAAAATATCAGTTAGGACAGGAATCTCTAAGAAGAGAAAAGATGATCTGCAGGCATACTGGAGCTTCTGAACACCATTCAGCGAATCCTGATTAGAACACAGAGATAGTAAACTTGTTTTTTTGTTTTGTTTTTCTTCATTCTTTATAATTGTGAGACTTGGTTTTTTTTCTTTCTCATTGCCTTTTATAAATAAAAACAAATGTAATTTTAAAAACTAACATGGAGACTCACATGAAAAAAGGAGGAATGCCTGGAAATGCTGCCTACTTCATAAAATTATGAGGTGCTTTCTGTTCTGGTCTTTCTTTTGCATTAAGCAAAAGAAATAAAAAGGGATATGGAACTGAAACTTTTTAGATGAGAGAAATAGAACCAGCCAATTCAGTTCTTCTATGCCAAACATGTGCTCTTGATATTTATACTATTTCACAGTTATTCTTGAAAGCAAAAGCAAAGAAGAACAAAAAAGATACTTTTATTGAACATTACAATAATTCATTTTTGAGAATTCATACATTGATAATAACCTAAATTTGAAGACATTAACTTCAAAGAGATCCAGAATGATGCCAGACAGAGGGTTTCTAATGATATTAACCAAAACATATCAAACAGACGTTTCTTTTTTAAACATATTTCTATGGAAGAAAATAAACAAAAGAATGGAGGGGAAAGAAAGAAGGAAGGAAGGAAGGAAGGAAGGAAGGAAGGAAGGAAGGAAGGAAGGAAGGAAGGAAGGAAGGAAGGAAGGAAGATGAAGAACATCTTTTTGTTTGGACCACTCATAGGTATACTTCATTTGGAAGAAAAGTTTAGAAGAGTGGTGGCTCAGTGGCTTAATGATGCTGGAGATGGTGCTTCAGCGGTTCAAGTCCTAGCACTGCATGGTGGGATGAGCTCCAGTCACTCACCTCAGCTTCTGCCTACCTAGCAGTTTGAAAGCATATTCTATGTGAGCAGACAAATAGGTACCACTTCGGTGGGGGAGACAAGTTGGTGCTCTGTGAGGGCAGTCAGGTTTCTGCTGACTCTGAAGCTTCCCAATTGTGATGCCCATTTATGAGGTGGCTGCAGGGGAGAGAGGGTGACCTTGGATGATACTGCAGGAAGAGCTACTTCCTTTCTGGTGTGAAGCCAGCTCGCCTTCCTGTGGCGCACTCTGGGAAGTGCGCAATCATGTACTTGACAGAGCTGGTTAACAGGCAGCCAAACTACAACTTTGCAATAGCAATATAGTCTCCTGGCTAATGTAACAATGCCATAACATTCACTGAGAGGCATTTTGGGCATCTGTCTTACCTTTACTCCTGGGTAACTAGGATACACCAAGATAAGGCTGTCACTGTTATTGATATATGGTTGAAAGGGATGATCTGTTTCTTGGTCTTAGGAATAAAGATGCCTTCTGATGATTTAATGGCCTGTTGTGTGTATGATTTAGAGAAGAATGGCTTTCTTATAATCATGAGAACTTGAGAAAATTGCATTATTAATTAATTATCGCTTGTCCCTCTTTCATATAAATGTGGTTGTCTTTTGAAAACTAAATGCATATTATTGGAAAATGTATGACAAAATTTGTGCTGCAACAACATTTGGAAACTGCTGTAGATGTGTTTGTGGTATCTCTTGTATATTAGCCCATACATTTGCACTCTGGAATAATAAACTTTTAGGAGCAAAGCCCCTAATTTAACTGGATAATCTATTCTATATTAAAAAATGAACAATGCTTTACTTTATATGCGCTAAAATTGTTAAACCTAATAGTAAAAAAGAAAAAAAAGGGCCACCCACCTCTTTATTTAAATTGCTCTCTGGCAGTCCTCAGGGGGCAGCCAAATCAAGTCAGTTCTTGGAAATTAATAAAACAACAAATCCCTTATTTTCACAAGAATCTGTCCTTGATTAAAACTGAAAACATGGCAGGGAGAAAGGAACCGACTGTTCAGTGTAGAATGGATAAAGATAAATGTTTTAAAAGTTTTATTTGTTCAGGCCTTGATAGAGAACTGTATGAAGACAATGGCAAAATTCTATTGCTGTACACACCATGGATTTCAGTACATGTTTGTATATGTTATGAATTACAAATAAAACTCTGTGCTGTACTTACAAACTGCAGTACAGAATTTAAGAATATATCCATATATTCTTACATATATATAAATAATAATAATAGTAAAGTTGGAAGGGACCTTGGAGGTCATCCAGTCCAACCCCCTGCTCAAGCAGGAAACCCTATACCATTTCGAAAAAATGGCTTCCAGTCTCTTCTTAAAAATTTCCGGTGTTGGAGCATTTACCGCTTCTGGAGGCAGGTTGTTCCACTGATTAATTATTCTCACTATCAGGAAGTTTCTCCTTAGTTCTAGGTTGCTTCTCTCCTTGATTAGTTTCCACCCGTTGCTTTTTGTCCTGCCTTCAGGTGCTTTGGAAAATAGCTTGATTCCCTCTTCTTTGTGGCAACCCCTGAGATATTGGAACACTGCTATCATGTCCCCCCTCATCCTTCTTCTCTTCGTTAAACTAGACATACCCAATTCCAGCAACCATTCCTTATATATTTTAGCCTCCAGTCCCCTAATCATCTTTGTTGCTCTTCTCTGAACTTTTTCTAGAGTCTCAACATACAATTAATGATTTCCAAATGGCTGATCAGAGTGCACCTTTTAGTCAGAGATTTGCTATCAATAATATGGGGAGAGTGATATGAATCCTTTTGTTTATATTTTGATTGTTTCTTTATATTTATAGCCTATCGTAAAGGATGGAGTAAGAAGTATTGACTATTATTAAAATCTGCAGCAACAATCCTATCAAGCTAGTGATAACATGGCAAATGGTTAAATTCCAAAGTTGCATAATTCATATCACAACAATCAGCATATTGATGTTCTTGCACTTTTCCTTACATTTGGAACTCTATTTGGGCACACATTTGGATGTAAGATGGTCAATTTGAATAAGGTGAATTTCAAACCTGATTACACCAGTCCTTGTGATTCAGTAGAGTTAAAAGATCTGGCTTAATTTGTGGATTTTCTTGTTTTTTTTATAGGCATGTAATCTGGCCTAATGAAGAGTTCTGAAGAACTCAAAATGTTGACACTCCTTTGTATTTTTTTTAATTGTTCCTAAT